GTCAGTAATCCTGAACACAAGTTAACCAGAGAGAGATAAGCTGGACCTATATCATAGTGAAAAGTATCAACCATATTATTGGTGTGAACGTGCTTTATAGCGACTATGAGAAAAACTCCGAAATTAGTATAATCCAATAACACACGTTGATCAAAGTGTAGATTGAACTGGATCTCCCTTGAACTTAGTCTTCGAGATTAAACAATCTTCGAAATACTGAGTTTATTTATTATACCTGCAATTGTGCTGATATATTATGTGAAGAACTGAATAGTGGCTAAGACCCTTTTTCTTCGGTGTATAGATTTTTCTCATGGTGACTATAAAGCACGTTTACACCAACAATATATTTGACGATAACCCTTGTGTGTCAACAAAATGTATCCATATTATAGAGCGGGTTGTGTCCATATTATAGAGCGGGTTGTATCCATATTATAGAGCGGGTTGTGTTCCGTGTATCTATACGATTTTCCAACTTCCTTATCTCTGACCACCACTAACTTTCTAAGGATTCTTGAGTATACCCCAGAGGAATTTAAAAACCCTTTACTTTATTAATGTTCTTATTTATACGTGTTTGACAACCATTTCCCATCTTGCACCTGCCGGTGAATGACGCGCACCGTTTAATAATCTAAGTAAAACTGTTTTTTGGCGCAAAGCTGGACAGTCGACGTTGAACTCTCTGTGTTGTGTCCTCCGTAGGAAAACATACCTTGGATGTTAGAGTTTTAACTTACCCCTAACCCACCAGGGGGCAATCCAAACTGAAATTCAGGATTAAATGCAAACAGCAGGGGTTCCACGTGAAGCTAACGAAATAAATGCTGTGCCTGGCACCAGTACTTTTACTAGTTACAGAATTGAGGAAAAACAAGACAGTTGTACGTTTCACAAATACGAGTTATATTAATTAAGGGCACGACTGTCTAAACCCAGTGAAAAGATCACAATTTGAAAAGACAGAAAAATTACATGACAGCCATGATTATGCACACTTAATTATACTCTCTATATTTTCTATAAACCAGAGTAGTATTACATAACGATAATATTTTTAGTATTTTCAATTTAGCATAGTAACTGAGCGGTAATTATTGTAATTTTTTTCTTTACTCCATAGTCAAACACATTAAAAAACTGAACACGTCATCCAGTAAGAAATGTTGTATTTTTAACGAATGATATTTTATCTCATTGTCCAGAGAAACGACGAAAAAACATCAGACAGGCTAGTAAGAGTAATAGAACCTGATAAAAATCCAGCCATGTGTACTTGTAGCACTTATCGATGTCATCATGCTTCAGAAATTTATAGGAGTCGTCCGGGTATGTTCATTCAATTATTATTAATAATAATTAATAAATAACAGCAAAATGAAAACTTCTTAATTTTTAAAACTTAACAAATATTATTTTTCTTCAACAAAGTGACATCTATATTTTGTTGGGCTTACGACACAACTTTTACTTGATCCAATTCTTCCGATTCTTCGTCTTTGAAGCGTATCAATCTTAAATATACCCATAAATTGCTCGTATTTTTAAATTATTAAAAGTAAGTATCTGAACTTTAATATGTTTTATGCTTTGCAGTAAAACCATCATTCCCAAAACCTGATGTTCCTGGCAAATTTGTCTTACCCATTATTTCCCCTCCATCTAGCGGAGGTGCGGTCTCTGGTGAATTAATCGCTACTACTCAGGAGTCCTCTGGTAATCCTTCGGGAAACAAATATCAGTCTTCAACAAACCCTATTACAATGACTAAGATACCCCAAAATGTAGGATCCACGAAAGTCAGTCACGTATCTGCGCCTCTTGGTGCCACAAAAACATCAGAGTTGAAAAATGGTGACTTGAGAACAAAAATGGACATTTATAAAAACGTTCTGAAACAGGCAGACCAAGTCAATTATGAAAAGAAATGTGTGTTAAGCAAAGGTTGGACAGACGATGTTACACATAAACGTTTAGGCCTCAGTGATTTACGACTCCAAACCACCCATGAAGAAAACGCTGATATTAACACAAGAGATAAAAATCGGAACAATGCAAACAGTTTTATAGTTGGCAAAGTAACAACTGATTCGGTTTCTGATTACAATGAAATTCCCGATGGTGTGAAAACAAAACAAAAGGTGAGTGAAGGATCCAAGCAACTTATTAATCCCGACAAAAACCAGGAAATAGCCCTAGGACTTGAGGGAGCAAACGTATCCTTTGAGAAAGAAGAGAGAGACAAAGATGCTGAAACAGTAGGCGATTCTGTACATCGAGTAATGAGTGCTAGCCTCCAGAATGGCGCCCATCCTTCAGACACTGTCACAGTTGAAGTAAGCACCGAAGGTTCTGCTACAAAATACACTCACGTTACAACAGTCGAAGACCTTCTTCAAGCAACTGTTCCTCTGAAACATGACTCGGATGAAATATCAAAACAACCTCTGAAACTGGGGGGTATGCTTGATCTAGATTACAATGGTCCACTCACGTTTGAGATCAGGCATGGCCAAGAAATAAATGTTTTTGAACTTCCAACAGACAAGCTACATGATAATAAAAAGTGGCAATTGACTTTTACTATTGGCAAGAAAGAACAACTTCATGCTAGTTAAAAAAAAAAAAACACGTCAAGGGTTACAAGTAAATTATTGTTAATATTTAATTTGCTAAGGTAACTTAGCCTTGATTGATATAGCTAGAGATTGAGTTTGTTATATGGTTTCCAATATTTTGGGGAATAGCTGATTTTAATAAAGCAGGTGTGAATTTGGTATTAAGACATGAGAGGACAGGGTTAATGAATAGTCTATTTGTTTCCGTCCTAATGCATTTTGCATCTTGACTATGTGAATACTCGCTGTCCAAATACTTTCTTTCAATCTGATTTGATTATTCAACCTCCTAAGGTTTGGTGTTTGTATACTTTTAACTGTGATGAAATGTTATTTATATACCATCTTTTAATCTGATTTGGTCATCTGACCTCACAACATGCGATATGGGTGCTGTTTGTATACTTTTAGCTGTGATGAAACGTTATTTATATACCATCTTTTAATCTGATTTGGTCATCTGACCTCATAACATGCATATGGGTACTGTTTGTATACTTTTAGCTGTGATGAAACGTTAATTACCATCCTGCAATCGGATTTGGTCATCTTTCCTCACGACACGCAATGTGGGTGGTGTTTGTATACTTTTAACTGTGATGAAACATTGTTTACATACTATCCTTCAATCTGACCTCAAGACACGCAGCGAGGATAGTGTTTGTATACTTTTAGCTGTGATTAAATATTTAAATACCATCCTTCATGACATGTGGTGTGGATAACGTTTGTATACTCTTAGCTGTAATGAAACGTTGTATGAATACCATCTTTCATGACATGTGGTGTGGATGGTGTTGATATACTTTTATCTGTGATTAAATATTTAAATACCATCCTTCATGACATGTGGTGTGGATAACGTTTGTATACTCTTAGCTGTAATGAAACATTGTTTAAATACCATCCTTCAATCTGATTTGGTTATCTGACCTCATGAGCATGGTATAATGTGTACTTTTAGCTGTGTCGTTTATAGACTTTACATAGAAATATGTGTCATTTAGTAACGTGGTTTTTATAAAACATTAAAATTTAATAACAGTGTAATAAAATACAGGTTCCACAAATCTAAGTGATCATGAGATGACTTGGTACGAAAGTCAAGTGATAAAAATCTGACTTCATATACGAATTCAAATTATTGTAAAACTTGATTCAGCAGGAAGAGTTGAGTGATTCTAACACATGGCACTTTGCATAAAGTAAAGTAATCATAATGTGTAGCCTGGTTAAGAAACCAGATTATCATAAAGTGTGACCTAATGTAGAAATTCTAAGAGCTTATGAGTAAAAGCAAAGTAGATACGTTAACCAAACTACATCTGCCATGTCTAATGCCGATTTGGCCTATCATCCATTACCAGGGTTCATCAAGTGATCATAATGTTTGGCCTGGTAGAGAAGGCAAGTGATCATGAAGAAGTTAATGGATTGAGAAATCCAACTATCTGATGGTGTTGGAAGTCAAGTGATCATAAGTTGAGGCCTGGTGAAGAAGTAAAGTGTTTAAAAGATGTGACCTGGTAAAGAAGTGAACATAAGATACAACCTCATATAGAAAGTCAATTGATCATCAAATGAGATACCAGAAATCAGGCACAAAGAACAGACTCCTTACAGAAAGTCAAAATACAGTGAAAACCACAGGGTACTGAGCTTCTAGCTTAAGGCCTTTTTTTTTCTTTGTAAATAATTGCCAAAATATTGAAATACTGGTGATTTCTTGTTGTTGATGGTGTACACAGTTAACATGTGTCACTTTAGGATACAATTATGAATTATAAAATATGTTATTTGATTCGTAAAAAGTTTATACAAGTCTTTCTTGCTACAAAGTTTAAACTGTTAAAATGCTGTTACATCAAATCCTTACTAGTGAACATTGCACAGTGAAGTCTGTATTAGAATACATGATTTAATAAAACACTACCTAAAAATAAGGTTTACAATGACTGGTCCCAATTAACCTTTTAGCAAATATATATATTTTGTGTGATCTCTATGTAAATAACTACTATTTCTCAGTTAAGTTATTTTATTATAATTTTCTCAGACAAGGAAGATTGTGCTACAATTCAAGCCAGGTAATAAATAACACAACTTTTACTCACACAAACCTAATGTGAAGATTAAACTTGGCACTAGTAAGCCATTTCCATAATTTTATCAGAATTAATGGCAATCTACTGTACTATCAGCATGTCTACTTGCATTTCATTATTAGATCTCCCTCAGTCAGAGGCCCTTCAGTGGCAGGAATTGGACATAAAGAATCCAGGATTTATTCGATTTTGGAAAATTTCAATAGGATGTAACATATGATGAGATATGACGATTATAACTTACAATTTCTAAATCAGATACAAACTGACCAAATTAACATAACGTTTTGGGACAACATGGGACCTATTGGTCCATTTTGGCTGTTCCATCCTCTAAACTAAAAAAATCATAAAGCCAGCCCATATCATTCATATACTTATCAAGCTTTTTCTTAAACTCACTGCCTCTACAACATCTGAAGGCAACCCATTCCAAAGGCTAACCACCCTGTTAGAAAAATGAAATTGCCTTAGCTGAAGGTCACTCCTACCTTGCCATAATTTATATTTGTGTCCCCTAGTCCTACTATTCTCACTGTTAAATATAAAAAAAAGATGATGCATCAATCAGATCCCCCCTTACTCTTCTATTTGAGAGATTTCAACCTCTCCATCCCAGACATCATTCTAGTACCCTTTCCAACAATTCAATGTCTTTCCTAAGGTAAGGAGCCCAAGCCTGAACACAATATTCCAAAATACTATAGTTAACAAGAGTACTTCCTGTGTTGTGTAACTGATGGTTCCATTACACAAACCTTCACTGCATGTTTTCCAAGCCAAAGCCCAATAGATCTTAAACAGAAAACTCCAACCCTTACTGACAGTAACTGAAAATTTGCTACTCTTTCGCATTTCATCATTAATCACCATTATTCCTTTGACTATCCACACATGCAAGGTTTTGATATGTTCAATTTGCAACCTGCACAGCTACTGTGGATGCAATCACAATGGACATTCTGATCAGTCCTTTTTTTGAGGGAAATCTATCTATTAAGCCAAATGATGCCATGGCAGTGCTCAAAAATAGGTTTGGTGCCCACAAGAAGAGTGTAGTAAGCTCTCTGCCAGAACAGAAGATCAAGATCTCCAACAGACAATGAAGAAAAGTTCCATAATATAATTTGAAATAAAAAAAAAAAAGAGAGATAATCAATTAATGTATGGCTGTTGCTGGTAATGTGATGCAGCCACCCCGAAAAGCCGTCTCTCTTTAACTACTCACAACTATCAAATGACATATGTTACCATTATATGGATTTCATATTTGCATACAATAGGTTCTGGAATTCTATCAGTGTATGCATTCCTCCAAGAAATAGTTACCAAATTTTCTTGATCCTTGCCCTGCCATCCAAAAATCACTAATTTGCCTCTGGTTAAGGGAGAGATTCTTTGTTAAAACATTTGTACACAAAAATAAGTTTCCAGAAGAAGGTATCTTCTCCCTCGAACAGACTCGTTTTCACTTCACAGTAGCTAGTTTTGAGACACATCTTCAAATATCATAGAATTATAAGTGAAGTTTTGCATCAGGCCCAAAGTTGAAATTATAATTTTATTACTTTTCAACCAGAAACACGCTAAATTATTTTTCTGAATCATAATAAATAAGATATTTTCATGCAAAACAGTGAGAAACATAAGAACTCATCAAACTTAGTTTTAACTTTTTCTTTCTCACTGTTGAATTAGATCTGGTTCTTAATTTACTGTTATAACTTGTACGTCTACCACTGATGAGAATGTCCAGGCAGCAACCCTATCACAAAAATGATGTGACTAAAGGACTTTCTATTCTCACCTTTGTTTTCTTTCTTTACAGGAAGAAAAACATTACTACAAAATTAATAAATGCCTGAAATTTCCACAAGAAATTGGAACTATTATTTTTGCCTTCTGCATATTTCTAAACAACTTTGAGCATGACTTTTTGGTTTTACCAAATTTTCTAATGAATATAATTCTTAATACCGTATGAAAACTGATAATTCTGAATTGTTAAATGTGTTTGAGGATGATTAAAAGTGATAATTTTTTATTAATATATTAAAAATGATAGACATTCAAGTGAACATTAAGAGTTCAAAACAAAGTACAGATATTTTTGATTTACAGTAATCCATTTTCTTAGAAAAAAATGTATCATATGCAGTACCCATTAAACTTAGATTTCATTCCCATAATGTACGAAGTATCTTAGATTTTTATTGTGGTCACAGCTATTATTACATTTATTAACAGTGTAAAATTATTTCAGTTACTGTACAGCTTATTATGGTAATTATTTATACAATCATACAGTTTATTCATCTGTAAAAAAATAGTTATGTGATAAACGTATTGACTGAAGATTGGTGTAAAATTTACAAGGTTTGTTTTATGTAATTTTTCAAAGGAATAAAAAATATGTAAAGCAATATATATATATATATATATATATATATATATATATATA